CCGCAGCTGCTCGGGGAGAGCAGGTCCGTCCGTCGACGGCCTTGCAGAGTGAGGCGACCCCGCGCTGACACGCCAACGCGGGTAGGTCCTGGTCGGTGCGTTGTGTTGTTTGGGCTCGTCAGAGCGTGGAGTCTGCTCTGCTGATGTGTACCGAGGCGCTGCCCTCCAAGTAGCACGCGACCTCGGACAGCTGCTGCGCTCCCGACTCGGGCACTCGCTGGCGGAGCCCAATTCCTGCTCTTCAGGATGTTCCGCTCCAGGGGGCTGAGTGCTATCTGGCAGTGCTTCGTCCTCGCAGATGCTGCTGTCCGCAAGCGCCTCGAAGGGGTTCTTGATCAGCGGCACTCCAAGGTCTGGTCGCATCTCCACCCTGAGTGCCTGTCTTAGTAATCTTTTGCGCCTCGCCACTCTTCTTTCTCTTGCAACAGCTGTGGCGTCGTTGAGGTGCGGTTCTGCTGATGTAGGGCTGTAGCTTTTGCTGTCAAGGTATGTGTCCTGTATTTGCTCTAGCTGGTAGGCTTGTATGGGTCCATGCTGTATCTGTCGATTGTAGTCAGTGCTTGGTTGTGTCGTGGTAACTGCATTTAATTTGGCTGTCGCTGGTGGACTAGCCAGCCCTCTAGGGGTCTTTGTGCTTGCCGTGTGGTCTGCTTGCGAGCCCAGGTGGCTGGGGTCGAGAGGTTGGCGGGCAAGCCAGGCTCCGTCGACTGCAAGCGTGGGGTGCTCCTCGAGCACCCGGCGCTGGGAGACCTCCAGATGTGCTAGATCTGGTAGTCTCGACCTGCTGCCTGGGTCCTCCTTCGCATGGCTGTGCTGCCTGGGCTGCGACGCCGCATGGGCCGCCGCGGCTCCCGCGAAGTGGGATGTCGAACCAGGCGTGGCCAAGGGGTGTCGCCTTGGTCCACGCCGTTTGGCACTGCGTCGGACTGCTCGAGTAGCTCTCCCACTCTTGTTGCAGTCTCACCCTGTCGCGGTGCTGGTTGCTTGTCTGAACCCCGCTGGCGGTGGGGCTCGCGGCCTGAGGGAGTCGCTCAGGTCCGCGCTTGGAGCGCTCAGACTTGATGTCGCCGTTCTGTGGGTGGTCCCCACCCTTGCCCACAGACGCGGCGTCTAGGGAGCTGGTAGTGCAGGTAGTTCGTCTGCTACGCCTCTTGAGTCGGGGCTCCCTAGTAGAGCGTTGGTGGTTTGAAGCGGATGCGGCATCCCCCAGGCTCGCATCGGCTTGGACATAGCTATGTAGTGTGATGGAGGCTAGGTGCGATCGTGTGCGTATGGCCGAAAGCCATGGGTGTGGGTCGTTGGGCGTAGGCTCGTCACCGCACGGGTCTCTGAGTCTGGGCCCGATGTCCCCGATATCTTCTGGTGTAGTTGTCTGGGCGCAGGTCTGGGCCAGTTGCCCCCCAGCCTGCGTACTCCGTATCAGTTTTTTGACAGTCGACCCCCGTCGAGGTCGCTCTCGCCGCTCTCGATGAAGGATGCCACTCTGTCACCTGGGTCCGCGAAGCCATCGTCCGCGTCGCAGATCCTGACCTTTTTCGGCTGGCTCCTCGCCCTCCTGGGTTCCCTTGATTGCTTCAAGTTACCTCTGCATGGAGGTGCCGAACTCGTCCTCTCTGGCGTGCCCAAGTGGAAACGCGGTGGTGGCAGTCGTGGCTCGTGTGGCTCGGTGGGCGTGATATCCTCAATCGGCATCCGTGGAGGTGTGCTGGGGCAATCCTCCTCGTCGCGGCTGAGGTCGATGAACAGCGTCGTCATGGGAGTCTTGGCTGGCTGTGAACGCTGTTGTGGGGTCTTGTGTGGCGTGAGAGGCGTGACGGGCGGAAACAGTATATGTCTTGGCGTGGGCTGTTCCGTCGGGATGGGTGAGTCGGCTGGTATCGTTGGTGAGAGTGAGGCGAGGTCTGTCGGGGCTTCGCCCTCCTTCTCCTTGCGCAGGCCTTGGCGGTTCTTCAAATCTTCGTCCAGCAAGTCAGCGTCGTCGGATTCGCCAATTGGGATGCAATCGCTGCTCGCCCGTACCTCGAGCATCCCTGAGTGCGAAAAGGAGCCGACCCTGTTGTACTCCTCGATGTGCTGGCGCTGCTGAGGTGGTGGTGGGGGGAGCGGCCACTCTTCGGCGGATGTCCTCGGCACAAAGCTTTGGTTCTGGAAGCTGAGGTCGTCGCTCGACGAGGGGGTAGGCTCCTCTGGCGTTGGCATAGACGATGTATGGGACCTCTCTCCAAATCCCACCTCGGCCAGCTCCTCGAGGTACGGCGGCAGTTCTGGGTGTGGAAGTTCGTACTGGCTAGGTAGCAGCCGAAGTAAGTCTGCCTCAAGTTGCTCCCTCTGGTACGCGCCCTCCTGGTCCGCCATGCCTTGGTCGCGCTCGCTCGTGGCTGTGTCTCCCATGAGGTCATCCGTCATGTCGATTAGCAGGTCTTCGTCCACTTGTCCTCCTGCTCCCCAGGCATCCCGTAGTGCAGTCTGGAGTCCTGCCGTTTGCAAATCATGTGCCCGTTGGAGCTCTTGTAATTGCTGCTGCCTCTGCGCTTCGTTCATATGATGGTTGTGGGCGTAGTGCTGCGCGATGGCCTGCATCTCCTGCTGGCACTGGTGCTGCAGTGTGCTGTGGTACTGATGCGCCGCTTGGTTCTCCATCTCCTGCTGCTGCTGTAGTGCATGGAGTTCGCTTGTGGCTGCTGCTTGTCGCTGCAGTGCCACCTCCTCCATCCTTTGGGCCTTATCCACCTCCTCCTGGTGCTCGCCGACGCGCTCCAGATACCTTTCCTGCTCGTGCTGCATCTCGTATGCCTTCGCCTGGATGGCTGCGTGCTCCAGGTGCAGGACGACCCGCATCGCTTCGCGCTTGTTGGCTTCTTCCTGATGCTCGTGGGCCATCTGCTGGTAGTTCACTGCGATCCGCAGCTCCTCCTCCTTATAAGCGCTGTGGCGGGCGCATCTCTCCTGGTACTCCGCCTCCGCCATATCCTGCACCGCCTTCTCGTTGTGCTCCTGCGCCATCTTGTACCACTGGGCCTCTTGGGTTGCCATCTCTCTCACAACTTGCTCTTCCTGCCTGGCCTTCTGGACCTGCTGCGTGTAGATGGCTGCTCTTCTCTGGTCTTCCTTGTGCATCTCCTCGCGCAAGGTCTTCTTTTCCATCTCGATATGCATTTGCAGGTCTGCGAGCATCCCTTTGGCCCTTTCCTCCTGTGTCCTCTGGGTGCCTCTTTGTGCTTCGTATGCTTTTGCTTCCTCCTCCTCTAGCTTGGCGTTGTGGTGCCGCTTGAGAGCGTTGACCTCCCATATGTGCCACTTCTCCTGCTTGGCCAACTGCGCTTCGGTCGTGTGGTACATCTTTTGCTCGATGGTCTGCTCGTAGGCCTTCAGTTCGCTTTTGTGCTTGAACTCTGCTTGTGCTAGTAGGTCGCTTTGCTGCTGTTCTTTTTTCTGCTGCGAATCAAGCCTCTCGGTCAATCTCCTGATGGCGTCTTTGATCTCGTCTGATGCTGCTGGGACTGATCGGGGCTGCTGGGCTGGGGCTGGCTGAGCTGTGGCTGGTTGAGCCGTGGCCGGTGCCGCTGGAGCTGCCGCAGGGTCGCGCCTTCTCCTTGCGGCCGGGTGTGGCGTGCGTCCTCTGGTGGGATCATGGCTCCCGTCTTCCTCGGACGATTCGTCCTTTACTCCCGCCGCCTTGGCCATTTGATCTCTGGTTTCCCTCATCAGGGTTTTGTAGACCCTGATGGTTCTGGCGGCCGTCGCCTCCTGGTCCAGCATCTTGCTGAGCCGCTTCTCCATCTCGGCATGCTCCTCCTCCAGCTTTTCCAGCGTGGCCCTGAGCTGCTTCATGCGTTCTTTGTGGGGCAGGACGAAGGAGATGTTCGTGGCGGTGATCGCCGCTTCCTGCTCGAGGCTGGTTGTGCACAAGCCGGCCAGCCTAGCACCTGCGATGTTCTCGGTGAGACGACCCAGCCTGTGGCACTTGGTCTTGTACCACACGAACCTCATCTCATCGTCATCTGGAGGTGCGGACCAGCTCTCGTGCTCCATCGCGACGGCGAAGGAGACTGGCGTGATGCTGTCCAGGACTGCCTTCTGCTGGGGGCTGTACTGGTAGCTGCCGATGTGGGCTGCGGCAGGCGTGTCGAGCTGGTCCCTTCTTCTGCGCCTGCCGCTTCTCCTTCTGGCTGAGGCGCTCCTCCAGGGCGCTCTGTGCTTCCAGTGCTGGTCGCTGTCGCTTTGCTGCTGGTGCTTGTGGGTCTGTGGCTGCTGCTGCTGCTGCTGGTGGCGCTTGTGGGTCTGTGCTGCTGCTGCTGCTGCTGCTGACTATGCTGCTGCCACTCCCAGGGCCGCCCACCAATGGCTCCGTAGTCGCCAGTCCAGTCTGCGCTGCGCTGGCGCTGCGCCTGGGCTGTGGACCCTGCTCCTGTCCACCTTTTCCCAGGGCCGCGCCGCGACGCCTCGAGGTGTGTGGTCCCTGCTCCTGACCACCTTTCCCTCGAGGCGTCGCGCTGCTGTTTCCAGTTCTGCTCCATGGTCGTGCTGCTGGTGGCGCTGGGGCTGCTGCGCACTGTGGTGCTGCTCCAACCTGCTGGCAGCAGCCGCCAATCTTATCAGCAGCCTGTCTTGTCCTCTTTGGGTCCTGGCGCGGCGGTGCCAGGCTTCTTCTTTGATCCTGGGCGTGGCGGTCGGGGTGACCGCCGCGGCTGCGGCGCCTCTTTGTCTTCTCTTTGAGGGCTCCGCGGCGCGCGAGCCACGACCGACGGGGCGACCGACGACGAACGATGCCGCGACGGTCCCAGCCCCTCCTCGGCCGTATGGCTTCCTCCTCCTGCTCCTCCTCCTCCTCCTCCTCCCTCCTCCCTCCTCCCTCCTCCCTCCTCCCTCCTCCCAGCCGAACCCCTGGCATACCCATCCGGTTCTGGAGCAACCAAACATCCCAAGTGCAGGCACTGCTTGGGGAACCTCTCGAGGGTCGGGCCTCGAAGCTCGACCATCGAGGGAGGCTCAGCGGGCGCCCCTCCTCGGAGAAGCGGTCGTCGTCGCACGCGCTGTCCAGCTCTGCCTTTAGATGCCTCCCCAAAAACGGTCCGAGCGGATGGGGTCGGAGGATCGCGACGCATCAACGATGCATCGCCGACGCATCGCCGATGCATCGGCGACGCTGGTGTGGAGAGGATCGGCCTCCACATCGCGCCGCATCGCCAGTGCATCGGCGATGCGGCGGGATCCTCCGACCCCGCCTGCTCGGATCCCTTCTGGGAGGCTTGGGGCCTTCGCGAGCTGGAGGCCCTCCGGCACGAAGCCCGTGTGGAAGGCGAGGCGAAGCGCCGTGTCCTTCCGGATCGGCAGCGGCGACGCTCGGCGGAGGTGGCAGAGACAACGGCGGGACGCGGCGCCGTGTCCTCCTTCGGCCGCGCATGCTTTTCATCTTGCTACGTGTATTCGAGGCGCGAGCCTCTTCGAGGCTCGAGGCTCCCTGGATGTTTTCTGTTGCATCGTTGTTGGCCTCTGGGGAGGCTCCTCTTGGCTCCGACTGGGACTCCTCTCGAACCCCCTTGCCGGACCAAGCTACCCGGGGCAAACGTCAACCTCGGGGGCCCCAGCGCAGCGCCGTGCTCAGCCCTCGGGCCGCGCGTTAGCTTCCAGCTTTTTGTTCGGCGGTGGGCCCATGGGGGAAGTCCGAGGGGGCGGGCCTTCTCGGGAGGCTCGGAGGGCATCTGGCCTTCTGGTAAGTTGTCTAGGTCTTCTCCGACGACAGAGACGGCTTCTCAGAAGCCTGGAGGGCTTTGAGAGGCCCCGCCGCCTCCTGAGAAGGCGCGCCCCCTCTCACTTCCCCCTGGGCTTGCCGCCGGTCTTTGAGGCGGCGAGGGCCACGCGTGTGCGCGGGCATGCAGTCGGGACTGGTTGCATGTGACACCCAGAGGGCAGACCGTGCTCCAGACCTGAAGAGAGCACGACATGCGGCAACTAAGGCACGACACGGAAGCACCCTGGATCTAGCGGGGCAGGAGATCCCAGAATGGAGCCGCGAAGTAGGATCGGCGATCGACATGAACCAGGTCGGCGGAACCCGGCAGCCAGGTCGGAAGAAGTCGAATCGGCGGACACGGGCAGGCTAGGAAGGCCTCCACCGACAAACCCAAATCCGGGTCGGAATCCGGAATCAAGTCGCACCGGAGTCGAACTCGATCGACATCGACTCGACTCGAGCAGGAGGAGTCGCAGTGTGCCCTGCGGGGTCGACCCACGAGGCAGGCCTGGCTGCAGGCTCTCGACGCCGGCGGCCTTCACGGGGGCGAGAGCGGCAAGCACGGCCGAGGGCCTCTGGGGCTCCCCCGGGGCCCTGGGTCTCGGGCCAGCAGCGGCGCGCTCCCCCGGGGCGCGGGCCACGGCAGCTCTCCCAGTCGACTCCGAGGGGCCGGCATTGCGCACGGCCCACCCTCGACAGGCCCGCAGTGGGCACGGAACAAGAAATGGGTACGATGTCCAACGGCAGGTGCTGACCCAAACCCACGCCGACCGCTGTTGGGCAGGCGACTTCCGTTCCAAAATGACTACGACCACGGCAACGCCGACAGCGGATCCAAGTCAACTTGGACACGGACTGCTATCGGTCTTCGTGCCCACTGCTTCCGTGCCCATTCCGCCGAGATTCTGAACCCCAGATCGATGCATACGTCCTCCTGGCTGCTTGGACAGGGGGGCACATACAGCGGTCCAGAGCCCAGGATGGGGCGGCCTATCCAGGGTTGGGCCTGGTGAAAAAAACAGACAACACACATAAGCATAAGCTTTCGGAGGTCTGCGCGGACGTCTTGGATCGGCGCTGGACTTAGAAGAAGCTAGGACTAGGCAAAATCGGACCAGGATAAATCGGGGATGTCTGAGATCTGGCGGCTCTGGAGGATGTACGGGCGCCGTGACCGTCCGTTCCAGAGCGCTCCAGCATGCTCTGAGAGCGCTCCGGAACGCTCTGGAAATATTTAGCCCGGTCCTAGCCCCATCCAATGGACCGACCCGTTGAAGGTGGCGCCAGGGCCAGGGGGTGGGCCGGCGCCGATACAGGAGAGTTTATGTTTGTGCCGTTGCTTCTTCTTATTCTTCTTCTCTGTTTATTCAATCGCTTCGCTCATTCCGCTGGCCCATATTGCCTCCCCGCTGTCGTTTGTCGGGGTGTTGTTGTCAATGCGGTGCGGTTGGGCGGCTGCCATTTTTCGGAGGCGGTGGGTGGCGGGCCAGAGGCCTCACGGATGTTGGTTGGACTCTCGTGGTTGGCTTCTCAGGGGCCTTTTGGGAGGCAATTTCGACGCCTCTTGGGAGCCGTGCTGGGGCATCTTGGGGCCTCTTGGGGGCCTCTTGGGGCTTCTTGGGATGCCTCTTGGGGGCCCCTTGGGGCCTCTTGGGGGCCTCTTGGGGCCTCCTGGGGGCCTCTTGGGACTGAAGGCTGGACTTTTCGGTTCCTGGTCGCCTTCTTGGGCCTCTCTTGGGGCCGTTTTGGGGCTCTCTTGGGCCGGTTTGGGCGCCTCGTGGGCTGTCTCGAGGCCATCTTGGGCCGTCTTGGGGCTGTCTTGGGGTCCTCTCGGACCCTCTTGGGGCGATCTTGGGAGCCTCTTGGTCCATCTTGGAGCGTCGGGAAGCCAAAAAAGGAGAAACCCGAAAATGTGTCCAAAACCGAAGGACAATCGATGCATGTTGCCTCTTGGGGCCCTCTTGGGAGTGCTTTTGGAAGCCTTTTGGGGAGTCTGGAGGCCATGGTGGGCGTTTTGGAGCGATCTTGTAGCATCGTCGGCCGATCGTTCGAGGACTCTAAGGGCTCTTGGACCGTCTGGGCGCTCTCTTGAGGCCGTCTTGGGCGCCTCTTGGGCCGTCTGGAGGGCCTCCGGCATCTCTGGCGGGCACTTGCCGGGACTTTGGCGGGGTACTTGTCGCGTCGGGGCCCCCAGGGGCCGCCTCGCGCACGCGAACTTGTTATATTGTTAACTTGTTACCGGGGATCTTAGCACGCCTCTGGCCTGTTGGGCCGGCGAATTCTGCATATGCGGCTCTCATTGCCCGACTCTGCTCCAAGACCTCCACCACCGTCCTGGGACAGCCACAGTGCAAGGCGGGGATGTACCCACAACCATCGCCTGTGGATCGATCTTAGGAAACCTCGGCTGGCGGTGGATCTGGACATACTTGGCTCCCCCATGGCCCGAACATGTCCACGTCCACCGCCTGCTGAGGCCCCCAAAGATCGAGCCCACAGGCGGTGCTTAGGGATAAACCCTCGCCTTGGACACGGGAGGGATACCTCTTGCCACGTCTCGGTGCTCTGGGGTGGGGGGCAGGGAGGGCGGGGGTGCTTCTCGACTAAATGTCAAATTGCTTACCCCGGCCAATACGTAAGCCACAGACACACCAGGCTGATGCTGCATCCTCGGGGGACTTTGTGTGTCCCATCGCGACGCTGTCCGCGTCAAATCCGAGCTGAATCCATGCCGAACGCGTCGAATCCGTGTGGCATCCACGCCGGATTTGCGTCGAACCCACTCCGAGTCCACGCCGAATCGGCGTCGAACCACGCTGGAAACAAGAAAAGACCGGTCGTCTTCCCTCCGCAAGGAGAGGTGAAGAAGGCACGAAGGGGCCTTTCTGGCCACGGCGAGCCTCGGCCACGAAGAGGTTCTCCGATCCAGATCCAGGGAACAGTCCGAAGAAAAGAGCCTCTCCTGAGCCCATACTGGTCCTTGCTGCAGCGTCTTGACTTTAGCCGAGGGGCAACGGTAAGGGGGACTAGCGGAGGGGGGAACAATGACTTGGAATCGGCGATGCATCGCCAACAGGTCGGGGATAGGTCCCCCGATGGCGAGTCCGCACGTTCCTGGGCGGGGTGAGGGCCGAGGCCCCGATCGACGAAGGGGCCATTGGAGGTCGATGCTCCCCCCCCGAGCCAGTCCACCTCCGCCGCCCTCCGCCGGTGCACGCCGCCACGCCGCCCGTCCTTCTGACCGTCCGCGGCCACGTGGCGCACGCGGATGAGCACGTCCCCAGCTGCGTAGATGCAGGGGAACTGGTGGATGCCGCCCAGATGGAGTCGAAAAGCACGGGGTCGGAGGATTGCGCCGCATCACCGATGCATCGGCGATGCCTCGGTGACGTGCGACGCCGGCTCGGAGAACATCTGGCTCCACATCGAAGTGCATCACCGATGCTTCAACGACGCGGCGCGATCCGCCGACCCCATCCCCTTCGATCCCAGAGCGCCGGAACGCCATCTCTCTCCTCTGGCCTCCCTCACTGCCCACGCCGTGCATACGATTCGCGCATCCGTCTGCACAGAATGGTTCTCCCTGCCCAGACACCCCAGGTCGTGAGTTTGCTGCACGGCGTGGCTCCCCCAGGTGTCTGGGCTCCAAGTCTTCATCCTGACCTTTGTCTGACGGCCCCATGGCCCAGGAAGGGTCCCTGGAGGCTGCCGACTGCCGAAAACCTCATAGTGCTTCTGGGAACTCGCGGAGCACCACATCTCTCCAGTCCGACTGCCGGTCGCACGCAGCCCCACACAGCCTGCCAGGCCCGACGCCAAACCCTGGACACGCACAACGAAGAAACTGCATGTGTGGCGGAACCGGTTCATCGGTGCAAGACCATTTGCGCGAGGAGGAAACTAGAAACGTCTTATTCGAATTCGCCGGCCCAACGGGCCAGAGGCGTGCTAAGATTTCCGGACACTGGGTTCGCGCGCGCGGGGCCGCCCCTGGGGGTCCCCCGGCGAAAAGTATCCCGACCGCAGCCCGACCAAGTTTACCCAGAGTTGGTTCTGAGGGCCTTTCTTCGACACCCCTCAAGAGGATCGTGGCCTCCGAGGGGGGTGCACTTGACTACCCCGCCCCAAGAGACCCCCAAGAGCCCCCCAAGAGGCCCAAGGGGGCCCCAAGACGCCGCCAAGGAGCCCCAATAGACCCCCAAGAGGCCCCCAAGATCTCGAGGCCCTGGGAGGCCCCAAAGAGACCCCCAAGAGGCTTCAAAGAGGCCCCATAGAGCGCTCGAGGGCCGGCGGAAAGAGCGAAGTGATTAAACAAGACGAGATTCTTGCCCAAGACGCGAGGACGTCGGGGTGACCCTCCCCCACCCCCCCTGGGCGTCTGCCCGCCCACCCCCCTCCCCCCAGGAGATACATCGGCGGCGAGCCCCTGGGGGAAGTCATAGGTGGCGAGCCTTCTCAGGAAGGCTCGGAGGGCCTCCAGCCCTCCGAGAAATGTTCTACGTCGAAGCCTCCTCGGAAGACCCAGGCGGCTTCTCAGAGGGCCGAGGGGCTTCTGAGAGGCCCCGCCGCCTTCTGAGAAGGCCTGACCCCCCTCTCACTTCCCCTCCCCGTCCCCCCCCCCCCCCCCCCCCAAGAGGACACGACAAGAGCACATGCGAGCCGTGGCACGCGGTGTCCGCAGGCGGCCCCCTGGCCCGTGCCCCGGGGCTCGGTGCCTCGACGAGGGGCGGCTCGACGACGCAGGGCCCGAAAGCACGCGCCCCAGGAAGGGGTGGACGAGGACTCTCATACAGCCGAAAATGCGATTAAAAGAACGATCGTGTTAGAAACCTGGGCCAGCTTCCCAGAAGTTTCTCGAAAAACAAGCCTGGGCCAATCCCTGTTGTCGAGGCCGGAGGGGCGAGCGTGCCCTCGAGAAACTGGGCCGGCTCTCCGGCGACTGGGTCGAGAAACGCTGGCCCAGCTTATCGGGACGTTTTTCAAACAGATGCTCGACTGCACTCATGACAGGGGATCAAAGAACTGCGCAAACAGAAATTATCGGAGGCCCGCGCGGACTTATCGAGTCGGCGCTGGAGGCGCCGCCAGGAGGGCCCCGCGCCGAGCCAAAGAACCTGCACGGCGCCCCGAGAAATCACGTTGATGTCATTTTTTGTTCTTCGCTCGAAGAAGAGACACTTCTTTGAAGGGGCCACAGGACACAAAAATAAATACACGCACGCACAAATAAGAGGATTCCCCATGCTCTCCCATATGTTCTGGGAGTTTGTCTTCCCCCACTTCCCATATTTACCCATATGGTCCTGGGAGTCGACGATTACTTGTATCTGTGTTTTTTTCCTCTCCTGATTGTTCTTCAATCGAAGAAGAGACGCCTCTTTGCTGCACCAGCAGGTTCATGTCGACGCAAAGACGCGTGCAATGCCAAGGCCTCGAGCCCACGGCCTGGCCTCTCTCGCCGGGTGGCGGCTTCCGTGCCCGCCCTCCTCTCGAAGCCCATCCGCACAGCTGGCCAGCCTGGCTGATCACGCGGAAGCGCAGCAGCCGGCACGAGCACAAACTTTCGGGGCTCCGCGCGCATCTCTCGGATCGGCGCTGGACCTCCATCCCTGGCGCGCGGAGCGCGCCCGGGGCGGCGCCCGTGCTATTATGCAATGTTCGTTATCATTCGAGTTCTAGTGGCGCTTTCTGCCAGGAGGCCGGAACCAGACGTGGCTGGACTCCTGCGCGGCACACGCGGACACGTGCGCGCGGAAGGCCAGCGCGCCTGGTCACGCGAGGGCCCATCGCGCTGGACAAGGCAAGCGACCTCGCCTGGCCAGCTCCGGCAAATCCTGAAAAACACATGGATACTCGAGGAGGAGGAGGAAGAAGAAGAAGAAGAAGAAGAAGACGAAGGAAATCCTTCGGCTTCCGCTGCCTTCCGTCGATTTTCCCCTGGCAGACCCGCCGCCGTTTTACTTCCGCCAGCCTTCCGGCGAGGGCGAGGACGCGACGAGTGAACAACAAAAACGCTGCACAAACATCAGACTTTCGGAGGTCCGGGCGATTTTTCTTGGGTCGGCGCTGGGCCCCCCCTCCCTGGCGCGCGGAGCGCTTTGCGTGACACCTTGCCCTCGGGTCCGCAGGGTGCGGCAAGAGAGTTCAGGCCTGCCCAGACCCCCCCCCTGGAGAGCAGGGGCGGCCTCGCCTCTGAGAGCAACCCGTGGGAGGGCTGCTCGTCAAGCGGCCCTGGGAAGGGCCGCCTGACGACGTTTCCCCAATCGGCTTGCGGGGGTCAGGTCGCATAAATCGCTATACGTCAAGATACACGGGGATGAATCCAGAACAACCGAGGTACATCCAGAGATCTCCAGGGAAATCTTGAGCAAAGCGTGGACGCTCCAGCGCGAGTCGAGGGATTGCAGAGGTCGTGAAGCCAGTGAAGCGGTGAAGATCAGAGCAGGAGCGAGGCTCTCGCTCAATGCTCGCGCGCGACGGGTGGTGTGCTCGACATCCCTCTGAGCCGGCTCCCGGGAGCGGACAAGTTGAGACCATAAGACGGAGAAGCAAGTTGGAGGGCGGATGCGACCCCGCTGAGGGAGGAGCGGGGAAGCCTGTGAACATTTGTCGGTGGGCCTGGGCCCTCCTCCAGAGACCTGCACACGTCCAGAAACGGCACCGCCAAGAACGCGGCTAGGAAAGCACAGCCACCCAAAGACCCCGATCTTCGATCCTCCCTCCTTCTCCTCCTGCTCCTTCCTCTCAATGTCGTCCTCGGCCTTCTGTTCCCGACCCGCCCCCCATCAACGCCACCCAGCGGCTGCCCACTTCACCCTCCTGGCATCTATCCAGTCCCGTCGGCATTGCCGCGCTGGGCAGTGGAGAGATCGCGCTCGTCCTCGTGCCTTGCGGTTGCATGATCCTCCTCCTCATCCTCCTCCTCCTCCTCCTCCTCCTCCTCCATGCTGCTGTTGCTGATGCTCTCCCTTTTTTTTCTCCTTCTCGTCCTACCCCTATTATGACCACATCCTGCCATCCCTCCGTCTCATCCCCCTTCCTCTTTCCTCTCGTCGTCATCGTCTTCGTTGTCCTCCTCCTCTTCCTCCGACTCTTCCTCCTCCGCCTTCTAGGGCGCGTTATCACCGCTGTCGATGAATCATGATGAATGGTGGCTAACCCTTTTCCACCTCCGATTCTTCCCGCCTTTTCCAGTTCCTCTGGGGCTGCTTCTCGTCCTCGCTTTTCTCCTGCTGTTGCTCTTCTCCTCCGCCCCCTTCCCCTCCCCCCCCCCCGCCATGCACTCCTCCTCCTCCTCCTCCTCCTCCTCCGACAGCTCCTCGTTCTCCGGCCATCTGCGACAGCTGCACGCAAACGCACCACGCACAAGCAGCAGAAGAAGCACGTGTTAAATGGGCCCGTGGGGACACACACATACATAAATGGATGCAAGTTCTAGCATCCCTTGTCTTTTTCAATGTTTTCATATATGTTCCATATTTTTCTCCCTCCCTGTCCCATATTTTTCCACATCCTCACTGCAATCAGCGTTTAGTTGTGTCTGTGCCTACCTGTCCCTCCTGGTGGCTGGCCGACCCTGGACACCCGAGCAGCCTAGCCCGCTTCCGCCGCCTTCCAGCAGCGGGCCCGCCGCCACTCCTTGCCTCCGCCGGCCGCCCGCCCGAAGGCGAGGCGCGCGCTGGAGGCGAGGCCCCGAGCCTGGAGCAGCCGAGGTGCAGTTCCACGCCCCGCGGGGCGGCCCACGGTGCCGAAGGGGGGGGCTCACGCTTACTCGTGCTGCAGTGGGACCTGGGCCAGAAAAACATTACTCAAGAACATGAGACCCTCCGTCGGCCAGTTCAATCAGAACGTCCAAGGGTACCCCTCCCCAGGATGCCCAAGAGTATCCGACGAACACGAAGACCACTAGGGTACCCTCCCCGTACCGACCTCAATCATGCACCTTGGTCCGACTGTACTCACAGCCATCGTGCTACCACGAGGAACGCTGATCGATGATCCTCAGAATGTGTTAGCGCCAACGTGCGCTTGTCCACCCAAGCCCTTCAACGCAACGCTGGGGGTGCCGGCACATATTGAACGGGGTAAACACACACTGGGCTAACACACGTCATGAGGATCATCGGACTGAATCAGGAACAAAGGAGCCCCCGAGTCCATGCCTTTGAGCCCCTCGGCCTGGAAGGAGACGCAGGAGTCCGAGGCGGAGTACCCTGCTGGCAAGTCCGCAGTTGCACCGCTGCTGCTGCCACCGCCTGGCAGTGTGGTGCCCAAAGAGGTGTAGATGAGCTCCCCGTGGTTCCACACCTCGACGTAGGGTCTAAACACCACCTGTTGCCACGACGAGACTGCGCGGAGAGCAGACTTGAGAATGAAGTGCGTCTTCCGAGCTGGCGTCTGTGTTCTGCTTTTTGAAGCGGTCTCACGCCAGGAATACCGATGCCAGAGGTGTCCGACAACTGGCAAAACTCTGGCCTCTGATATTTTCCCTGGTCTGAGGAAACGCCGCAACGTCAAGGCACCCAGTGCTCACGGCGAGCCAGACGGAAGGCTGCACTCTTCAGACGCGCGCACAGTGCAAGGCAGGCCGGAGCCCGAGCGCGATCGCAATACCTCTCGAGCGCGATCTGCACCGCACCGCTCCTGGGAGAGCCGTGGAGGCGCACGCCATCGGGAGACCCCTGCGGGAGCCGGCGGGCCCACCTGAGAGCCACCTCCGGAGGGCCTCCCTGGACACGCGCGCAGTCGCGGACGCCCCTTGGGAGCTTCTCGGGATCATCTCCGGGTGCCCCCCGCCAGGCCCCCGCAGGGTCACCCAAGGCCTCCAGGAGCCAACGCTGAATCAGCCAGGCCCTGCGAAAAGGATTTGCGCCACGAAAGAGCTTCTGAGAAGGACAAAAAGAAAGACCGCACTGCCTCAGAGTCGCATGTGGGGCATGCGGATACAGCTTGCTGTAAACACATGCGTGGGGCTGGCGGGCACAGGCACAGGAGGGCCAACCGGTAAACGAACTGAAGCCACATGTGTATCTAGCTCTCGCAAAAGTTCGGCCGCACCAAGTGTACTTATCCAGTTTCCTGGTACTGTTGTCGATGATCCGAAGAACGACTGTCAATTCTTTGCGGGTCTAGGGGTGCTGGGTGGCAAGGGTCATCTACGTCCAGAAATCCAAACCGAGTCCAACCCAGGCCTCCGATCTCTTGCTTGTTATGCGCGGGCCCACGAACCCTCTACTAGGGACAGATCTTCCTCCCTCATAACGGTTGACGGACCCAGAGCGCAGAAACATATTCGAAATGCAACTTACATGTGGATGAACCCGTTGTGAATTTCTTTTCCGCACATCGGAAGTCTGGGTACATTCGAAGGCATCCAAGGCCATCCGACGCTATGCGAGGCCAGCTGGACGCTGATCAGTGCAGCAATTGTCAGGGCAGAGGTGATCCCCGCCATCACGATTTTCACCTGGCCGACCCCACATCCCTGGCTACCCTGACGCTGACCTCCATTGGGGGGCGCCGCTTACTACGCCCGACACTGGGACGGAGAACAGCGAACCACAATGAATGTTGTCCAAACCTGACAGCGGCCGCAATCGGCCAGGCGACGTTCGCCCCAAATGGACGACGCCGGCGGCGACATCGACGACAAGACCCGTTCAAAACAAGTAGGATCTGCAGGTGGTCTGCCTCTTCGTCCACAGTATGCCTGATCCCTTGTCGATCGTGCTAGAGTTTCACTGGCTTCTGCCAGCCTCACCCCTCGGATCCCAACAAGACAAAAGAGCATCGAGACAACATGCGTTTCGCCACCGCGCGCGCAGGGAGGAGGCGGTGAAGGAGGTGGGTGGTGGTGGTGGTGGTGGTGGTGGTGGTGGTGGTGGTGGTGGTGGTGGTGGTGGTGGTGGTGGTGGTGGTGGTGGTGGTGGTGGTGGTGGTGTGGTGGTGGTGGGTGGTGGTGGTGGTGGTGGTGGTGGTGGTGGTGGTGGTGGTGGAGGGGGTGGTGGCGGAGGAGGAGGGCGAAGACGAAGTGGTGGTGGTGGATGGGGAGGAGGAGGAGGAGGTGGAGGAGGAGGAGGAGGAGGCCCCTGGAGGCAGGGCCCCACACATCCGACGATGTGCTCTTTGAGGAAGACAATTATCGTGTTGGGAGGAAGGGGTTGGGAGAATGCAGAATATAGCAAAAGCATCCCGCTGCAATGAACGATGCCTTCGGCCGCCTGCGTCTAGCGAAGGGGAAACGTGTTGTCACCGCAGCGCATGGGCCGCCAATCCAATACCGCGCAAGCTTCCTGAAAAGCGGTTGCAACCTGCAGCCTACTTCGTGGTCCTCTCGGGGCCATCTTGGACCCCTGGTGACTTGCCAAGACGCAGGTTGCACCCTGCAGCCTACTTCGTGACCCTCTTGGGGCCCTCTTGGAGCCCTGCCGAGGCCTTCGGTGGGGCCTTCCGAAAGCCCTCGTGTGTGTGTGTGTGTGTGTGTGTTCCAGGCCCTCTCAGAGCCATCTTGGACAATCTCAGGTGTTGAAGCGACGCGGCGAACACTGGAGGTGGACCAAGGGCATGAGCAAAGCCAGGGGTTTCTGGCAATTGCCAAATGAATAATGAATTCCACACCAATGAATTCCGCATCGGGTTCCATATTGTGCTCCGTTGCTGCTACGGAATTCAGAAATGATTATTCTTCGTGCTCATGCATCTTTTGCGAGGTCGCGGGACCGTAGCAGGTTCCGTATTGAATTGCGTTCCTGATGCGGAAGTAATAATGAACTCCGTATTGCGTCCCGTTCGCAAAAAGAATCACTACTGCGTTGGTGCGCTTCCGTTCTGCATGGGTGGCGCCATGACTTCTGCATGAGTCGTTGGCACCGGCGGTGCAGCATCGCTACCGATCGGACCTCAGAGGTAATTCCAAACTATAGAGGCCCAGCCAGTGACGAGCAGAGCAGGGTTCATCAGGAGGAACGAGCTGACGATGAAGGAGAGACGCGTGAATGCGATGAGTTGGAACGTCATGTTCAGCGATATGAAAGCGAAGAACCAACCCAAATTCAAGCAGAAGTACCAACGCAATCGGCGGGCAATTCAAGCTGCAGGGGGATTGGAGGTTGCGACGGCCAATGCTCGTGCACATGACAATGTAATGAGTACCTTAAACATACGCGATAATACAAATAGTACGATCGATTCTCCCAACCCCATCCTCACAACCCGATATTTGTCTTTCTGACTCTTGAAGCGCGCGGCTCACAAATCCCGATCGCTTGCCCGGACCTGGCTTTTTTTCGTTCCGTGCCCGGGACCAGACGACAGGCCCCAGATGCCGTATTCCATGCTCACCCTCGAAGATATTGGGGGCTCGGGACCGCGGGGGAGCACAAGGAAAAGCATGCTTCTCGGGACGAAAAGAGCCAGGCCCCTCGGGGGCGAAGAAGACACGAACAGGCGAAGAGAAGAGCCATGCTAGCCTAGGCACAAGAGTGGCCCAAGGCAAGAGTGACCTTCGGTGCGCGGCTTGAGGGGGTCGCGCAGGGGCCAAATTCAGGCGAGCAAGCCAGATGATCAGGGGACCCGCGTGGGCCCGCACCCGAAGGTCACCCCAGCGGGGAGGAGGGCCTGGCGCTGCGAGCGAGGCGGATGAGTATGCCAATCGTCGGGAGAGGATGGCGCATGCGACCAGCAAGAACGGCAGAGGCCCGCCTGCAAGGAGGAGGTGGAGAAGGAGTGCAGGAGCAGGAGAAGGAATAGGAGGGCAACAATGAGGTGAAGGAACAGGCGTAATACATCGCATCGGTGAGAATGATAATTGCCGAGGTTAACCTGCAAGAAGGAGGAGGAGGAGGAGCTCTTTCGAGCTCTTTCGAGCCGCCACGTCGTGGCAACCCGCGCGGCGCTGTCGGCGCGCGCGCGCGGGGGCGCCGCTCTCGGCGCCTCTCAGGCCGCCTCGGTCCTCGGCATCAGGGGGACGCGCCGAGCAACCGAGGGGCCTGCGGGCGGCTCCGCAGCCCAGCCCTCTCTCCGCGGGGCGGGGAGACCACATCTTCTGCCAACAGCTCCGCCACGCGTGGTCCTCACCCGCCCCGCGGGCCGCTCGCCCTCGTCCAGCAGCCGGCGCAGCGCGCCCAGCGGCAGCGGCGGGGCGGCGCTCGCCGCGCGGGCCCCTCTCGCCTCTGGCGGCGGGCGCGCCGCGCGCCGCCTCTCCTCCTCCAGCAGCGCTCGCGAGGCGGCACGGCGTGCGGCCTCAGCTTCGTCACGTTGGTCTGCTGCTGCTGGTGGTGCTGTCGTCGGCGTCGGCGTCGGTGCTGGTGTGGCGGCGGTCGCGTCCAGCAGGCGTCTCGCAATCGGCTCCTCAGCTCTTCGTCTTTCGCTTTCTGATCTCCGTGTCCTCTGCTCTCCTCTGTCTCCGCCGTCGGGCCGCGCGCCTGCTGCCTCGCAGCGCGCTCTCGCTCTGGCCGCCGCGGCCCGACGTGCCCTGTCCCGCGTCGCGGGCCCTCGGTCTGCTCCTGCAGCTGGAGGGGCGGGCAGGCTGCTAGGCTCCGCAGGCGTCGTAGCTCTCCTCGTCGCCTCCAGCGCGCCCGCAGTGTAGCCTCGGCACTTCTCCCGCAGACGGCAGGGTGGCTCTTCCCGTTTGTTTCGCCAGGAAACACCACTTGTGCCCCCTGCCGTGTCGACCTCCGTGCTCTGGCTACTGCTGGCCTCTGCAAGCTGCTCCTCGTCCTCCTCGTCCTCAGGGTCGCTCAGTGCGCGAGGCCTGTCGCAGGTGCCTTGCTCTCGCGCCGCTTGCCTCAGCCACCCCTGTAGCCTGTAGTGTCCGCTGTCGCATGCCGTGTGTCCGCAGCAAGGCTCCTGCAGCTTCTTGGCGATCAGCTCAGTGGTGGCGCCTCCGCACTTCTCGCAGAACCACCTGTTGTGCCTCCTCAGCCGCCTCAGCTTGTGCGTGGGGTGCGACTCGACGCCGAACTTGGTGACCGTGATCGCCGTCTCGGGCGGTGGGCCACTGCACTCCTGCGTCAGCCAGCTGTGGATGTTCTGCGCCGTCGTCGTACTGGAGACTGACTGCCAGCAGCTCATGCACGTCCAGCCTGTGCCTCGACGGTCTCGTGCCAGAACATGTTGTGTGAGTGGCCGTCGCGAGTGGTTGTCCCCCAGCAGGTCCTTCTTGCGCACGGTGTCCTGCCGTCGCTTCTTAGCCTGAGCGCGGCGGGCCTCTCTCATCTCCTTCTCGTCTGGCGGCATTCTGGTGATGACGTCCTTGGTGGTTGCAGCGATCCTGAGCCTCACCAGGTGCGCCGTCGCTCTCACCCACTCGTAGCAGCTCATCTCGGTTTCGC